AAATTTTTTCTAAGTGTAGGCCTAATTACCTGTTACATCCTTGTGGGGAAAAAATATTGAAGATGTGTTTTCATCCCTTCCAAAGGAAATAAATTCATAAAGTCGGCAATTTATTCTAATTGAAACCTAATTTTTCGGTCAAATTTTAGGTAATTTGCTTACAAGATACAAACACTTTGGTCATAACATTAATTGTAGATGGTTTGATTTAGAATTATATGATTTTTGTTTCAAGTTGATATCTTAATAAATACAAAAGTTATTAGACTTATCGCTAACCCTTGAAAACGTGTGAAATGCGCAATCTTCTTACACAAAATGACCGCTAGCAGACAAAGCATTGGTGAAAAAATTTTGGAAAATACTTATTGTCTTTTGCTCTCAGATATATACCGGTATAGTAACAGAAAATAAGCAAATAAAAATTAGCCTAAATAAATAATGTCAGCAATAAAATATTTTTTTATTGGTTGATTTCATTTAGATTGACCCCATAACCAGTAACCTACTCTTACTTAGGCTACCTACCTTATGTAGCCTACATATTAACCTAAGGCCAAGGTTGTTTGTTTACTTAGGTAAGCTAAGTTAAGTTACTAGGCCTAATTTAAGTTAGGCTAAGTTTACCCCGAAGTTAGGGCAAACTGAACTAAGTTAACCCACTGCAGTGGGCTACAGTGTTAAAGTCTTCTCAAAGAGATCACAGAAACTGATCATATTAAGTAAGCCTAACATTTCATCTGTATTAGGCTATAGGCTAAGGTATTGTAGGTCTCTGAGGAACTGTAGGCCTACCCAAACTGGTCAACTGTTAGATCTAAGCTTAAGCCCAAGACATAGGTCTCTGCAATTCATTACCGACACTTAGGCCTGTATAGCCCGGTCAATAAAGACCGGGTAAGAATATTACTGATGTCGAAACAAATTAGCGACAGGCAAAACTATATACCAATCTTTAGTACCCAACTAGATATACATTTTCCCAAAAGTCCTGAAAAATCCCCCCGGTGCTTTCCCCCCCCCCCCCCTATATGGTTCAAAACGAAATATCCACTCCTAACCCTTGAACTGGTATTACAATATCCAACACCTATGGACCCGCCGTGTCCCAGTCTGGCAAAACCGGCAGTTTTGAATAAATTGTTATTATTAAATTTTCTCATATTAACAAAATTTATAGCATCAGTACCACCCTCCCACCCTTTAAGAGACCTAATCTTTACTCATCTTCGTTTTGGTCCTCTTCAATGGTTGTAGACGCGTTATGGCAAATCAGACCACTACTTATAATGGTACTAAAGATGCCTGGGGGGAAGATTACAGTGCGACCTGTAAGATCTATTGTGTCCTCCAAACTAGTCTCCAGTCTTAGCCTAGAGAACCATCCCCAATCCTAACTCCTTAATGAAGTTCAGCGTCAGGTCGAGTTCTAACTGCGGTAATTGGTAAATCTCTAACTGCTACTTGGTGCATTCCCAAGTTCTTGGCTCTCTTTCGTCAAACTGCATCACATTCAGCCAATGTTTGGGCGTTTCTTCCCTTGATTGACAGAATCGGCAGTCACTTTCCTGAACAATGTTCATTTTTTCTCCTAGAGGACCTCTGTGCCTACAATGTCCAGTTAGAAAACCTGTCAACATTCTCAAAGAGTTCTTATTCAGGGGTGGGGTACTTTCTTGTGTGCCCTTTTTCTCCTTTCTAAGCACCGGTTTGTCCTGAGCTGCTGATGCCTTCCTTTCCTCCTCTTTTTTCCTGGCTTCTTCAGGATCCATGCCCTGTTCTAAGAAGCGTAGGTACCAGCGGGTTCATGTCCTGCTCTGCCCTACACTACGAGGATCGCCCTTTTCACCAGGATCTCCTGGTTTCGGGTAGTTCTTCAAAGGTCGGGGCATTTTACTTCCCTTTCCATGACTTGCAGTACTACCCCACATTCGAGCTTCTCGCTAGGGATCTGAAGTCGACCTGGACAGAGCCCTGCATGTCCAGGTAAGGCTGATAACTTCAGGAGGGCGCATGGTTTCGTGAAAGTACCATTCAGACACCATTCTACAGAGGCCTGGTGCTATCCACCCCTCAGCTCGGTCCACCTAACACGTGGGGTCTCCTATAACAGAAGAAGGAAAAGAAGGGACAGAAGTTGGGAGAAGAAGAGAGCAGAGATAGTAAGATGAAGACTGTTGGTCCATACTTGGGAAGAATAAGAAAAACAAGAAGTGAGAGGACAGACCCTGCTCAGTTGAAGAGTAGGGAGTCAGAGGGCCTGATTGCAAATACGCCAAAAATTACCTTAGACCATTACAGTGTCCAACTTACAACACCCGCAATAGTTTCCGCATGTTTGCTTACATTATCAGGAAATTAACGTTAACCGTTTGTTTGGCGTTATTGGTTTATGACTAGTTACTAGTCTTAGAGATTTAGTTTTTCCTTCGTTTTCTTTGATGGATTCTATTTCCAGCCCCATTTAGTTGGCAAGAGCTTGTTACCAATCCACCTTTTTACTTGTAGGTACACTCTTAGTACATGCTTCACTGGTGGGAGGCAGTAGGGCCAGATCAAAATTGGATCTCTAAGAGGCTTTCTTTGTCATTATAGTGAATTTAAAATAAAGAGCTTAATTTAAATTAGCGTACCTATCCAGCCCATAGATTCCTAACACAAATGTCTCTCCATTAGTCAACTACCGTACCGCTTAACGGACGCATTTTGTCATTGAAAACTACTGCCTGACTCTTAGCAGCAGTAAAGACCTTGACTCGTCCATTCCTTTCAATTTTCCTAAGCCGTAGAAAGATGAAGTGGTGTCACACCCAGTTATCACATGTACAAATAATAATCCATCTCTTATATCCACAAATAACCAATCACTTACTAGCGTTACCGATCATTTACTAGCCTTCAAACATTACACTATAGCACTACTAGGCCAACTAGGTTTAAAAAGATATATGTCTTTCCCTGGCGGAGCCAAAGCTACCAACGCGACTAGAAGGTCAGTGTTCGTACCAACAACAATAACTTTGTAGTTTTGATTTGATTTTCTTAAGGTGATCTTGACAATGTAGCCGGCGTCCTCTTCAGCAGTAAATGACTATGTGGTAACACCCATCCGTTTCATCTCCAACGATACGGCATGCAGCATTCTTCTTTTATTCTTTTTATTGCCCAAAAAGTTTTCTTTTGCAGTAGCACATCTCGTTGAATCAGTAATAATTATGATTTCTGATTATAAGTTTTCTGTGTAGCTCTTCTCAGTTGTTCTTTTTGTTTGGTTTGTTGGAGATTCTGGGTATCAATAAAACGAACTGATATCATCCTTCTCAGGAAAATGTGCCTAACAAACAAAACTCAGTCTAGTTTTTAGCCTAAGTTTCATAAATGGCAAGGAGGCGTGTTGCTATAAATTTTGTCAAAATATGAGATAAAAATTAAGAATTCCAGACCGGGAAAAGGCGGATCCATAGGTGGTGGATAATGTAATACATTGTCAAGGGTTTGGAGTGAAACTCACCTGAACTAAAACTGGCAGCCTTGATTTCGTTTTCAACGATATAGGTAGTTTTCTTAAAAATAAAATTATAGTACCGGTACCTTATTAAATTTATTGAATGAAGAGTAAGGGTTATAATATAGCGTCCCAAATAATATAAATTAATCTATCAACATAAACATGCAATCGCATTTGTCCATATTTATTTATCTTAAATACTCGACGGTCCCGTTGGCGCGGCTCTGCAGGGTCATCCGCCGAGCGCTCCGACTATTGTCTACTTAGGCTACACTACCGCCAACATTTACATCAGAATCCTGGACTTATATATATGTAGCCTATGTGTTCGTTAGAAAACGCTCTACAACCTATATACTGTACTAACTATTTTTTTAATTTCTCGCAAATAAACAAAATACAGTAGAAAATCCAAAATAACAGTGTCAATATTTTCGCAATTTCACCAATTACACTAAAATTACGGAAAAACTGTTAGATTTACGGTAATCGTGTAAATATTTTTTGTAAATTTAATTATAAATTTAATTCTAAAGACAACAAGCTATTATTTAACCGAATTAGACAACTCGTACGTAAACTAGACGTGTTTTAGTAAAACCATGCAATTTTGACTTTGAGGGGGGTGGGGGGGAAAGCACCGGGGAGATTTTTCGGGACTTTTGGGGAAATGTATATCTAGTTGGGTACTAACGATTGGTATATATAAGTTTTGCCTGTCGCTAATTTGTTTTGACACAAAACCTTTATTGACTGGGCTATGTAGGAAATCAATAAAATGCTAGGCCTAGTTCATTTCATTATTTCATTAGTTGAAATTCATTACTGCAGCCTGAGTTAGGCCTACAGTACATAAACTTAGTAGCAGTGGGCTGTGCTAAGTTAGGCCTAATTTGCGCTGTTGTTAAAACCATTTTAAAAAAACTTAGCCCCACCCTGAATGGACTCCTAGATCTTACTCTAATAATATCAGTAGCCTTAAAGCCTAGTATCCAAACTGCATGCTATGCTTAAACTAAGACCAGGGGCCCAACAAGGCCCAAAGAAGGCTTTCAAAAAATTGTAACCTAACAGCATAGGAAATGTTTAATATGTAGCATACTATATAAACTGTCAAAACTGATCAGAATAATCATTTAAGTTGAAGTTTCAGCACGCGGAACAACAAAATATTTCAGTTTAAGTTTCTCGGTGTGAGCAGTTCGGACATGCTCTTCACAAGAAAAATCACGGAAATGATAGACATTTAAGGGTATAAACACTTAAATGGTGTTTTAAAACATTAGATAGTAAACAAAAACATGTTCAATAAACATAAATACGTGCTATTTTCCAGTAGATGTCGATAGAAATTGGAAATACAATCAAATTAAGCTCAAAACAGAAAATGTATGAAAATTGACAAAGAACGGAAGAAAAACTTACAACGACACTTCAAGCGAACATTCAATGACCTTATATACAAAAACTCAAAGGATATTCTGGCACTTACCGTGGTCCGTTCAAATGGGCAAGGTTTGAATTAAACAAAGATAACTAGTTTGTAAAGATGAGGGACGGATCTAAGCAGATAAACGAAATTATCCAAGCCTCAGAATGGTTTACACCTACAACAAAATGGCGACACAGAGCTGGGTTTTTATTCCAACTTTATTGGTTCATCGGTTCATCCTTATTCCACGATCAATAAGGTGACGTCATATGTCTGGAGCTTTTATACGGAAAGAAGATTTTAAGTGATACAAGCTTGTAGCACATGTAATCAAACATATAAAATATAAAGCATAAAAATCTAATAAATATATTGTTAGTTAACTCCACTGAGCTATAATAATGTTAACTCATGATATTTTTATAGCCTTCACTATTGTAAATAAGTATTGCGAGTATGCAATAACTATTATCCATTACTTGGAATATTTTTTGAGAATTATACTCTTTTTAAGTACAGTATAAGACAGATTATATTATTGAATACGGCCATACGATGCGGCGTTAGGGTTATTTGACTTTTGCCCTGACATGTAATATGGCTAATGACCATAGATTAAATGTTTTATCTAAGATTAAACATAATCCCTAGTTTACTAATATGTTATAATATGTTATAATATGTTATGTAATAATCTTACTAATATAAATGTGAAGGTTTGTGTGTTTGTTTGTGTTTTAGTGAATTTCCCATATAGGGAATAAGCTATTACCGTAGGTCTCATGGTAAGACCTAGACCCGGGACCGATTTACTTTTTCGTTTTGAGGTCCCCAGAGGCCAAAAACACCATCCGTTCAAATTCATATATATATATATATATATATATATATATATATATATATATATATATATATATTTATATATGTGTCCGTTAGCGCGATAACTCGAGCAAAATTGATCCGATTTTGATGAAATTTGGTACAAACGTGTAAACCTACATTTATTCGAACGAGTTCGCGAACCAGCATAATCGGACCATGGGATCAGGGGTTTATGGGGGGTTTTATGGGGTAAAAATGGGGTTTTATCATTTTTGACCCTAAAAACTTTAAATTTCTAAATTTCTCTCTAGACCATTTTGAAGAGCTTAAAAAAACAAATAATTTAGTATATTGAAGTTTTTTTGAACGTTCATTGACTACGGAGAAAATTAAAAAATTGTAAATTTAAAATTCCCATGTTATTCTAATGGAGAATAAATAAACTGTTCTAATTTGCTTGTTTATGGATATATCATCTTAATCAAATTTGGCAATTTGGCTTATTTCATACTAAGCTATCAATATTTCAATTGAAAAAACACACCTCGACATCTTCCCCGTAGCAGCAAACCTAGCTACTCACTAAAATTAATGTTATTTAAATAGGAAATAAATCTGAAAATTTATAGGGAATATTTTAGTAGAAATCAAGCCGGGTAAATGGGAATTCGCTTAGTATGCAGGTTTGCTGCGACGGGGGTATTTTTTAAAGTTCAATCACGCATTAACTACTGGACGGATTGGGCTGAAATCTGGCAAGATGATAGCTAACATTCCCGATTAACATATAGACATATTCTTATCTCAAAAATCCTTTCGGGCTCCACCCCAGTGGCTCTGCAGTTCCCCATGTTAACCTTATGAGTAGTCATATTTAAAGGGAATTAAAGAATGTAGTCAGCTGTTTCACCTAAACTATCTGTGTGACCGTTCTACGCACAGGGATCTTATCGTTGTCAGTTAAAACCTTCTTATATTAAGCACAGCAGTTGGTGTGCATACTTTCAGATATGCTGACAAAACTATTATTTATAAAACTTCGCAGTAAACACTTGAACGTAATAGAATAATTTGAGATCTACAAAGCTGGCAAAGAAAAATCCCCAACACATCTTGAACGAAAAAGCCTCTTTTGAAAGCAATATGTTATATAAAACAGCAGTTGGCATTGAAAAAATAATAATAAAAACACGGAAAGGACCTGATAAGAGCTGGAAGAAGGGGAGGGGGATGACAGATGGACAAGACGGCAGGGACGAGACGACAGTATGGACTTGTAACTCAATGTGCACATACCGTCCGCCGCGCAGTCAATTTGTGGCCACACGTGTTTTTGTAAAAATGTGTTTAAAACTGTTTTAACTGTTCTTCGTTTCGTATTTATTGACTTTATGACGTCCTCTTCGGAGTAATTATGTGTCCATTCAACGCCTGGTGATGACCCCTTTGATGGGTTGAAACAGGTCGCCTTTCATCGGTGACTTTTTGATCACACTGACGGATTATAAGGTATTTTAACCTCTAGTAATAACTTCAAACAAAGGAGATTCATGTAGTTGTAGTGATAGTAATATAACTTGAGGTGTTTAATTTCATTTTTTAAATTTTGTAGTCGGTGAGACAGGTAGTCAAATTTTATCCTGTAAATTTTAAGATATCGAAATAGAAGCCTTGGATTATCAAAAAAGCTGTTTCATCTGCAAACGTTGGGACTATACAAAGTAAGCAAAATATTATACAACTAGCAGAGTACCCGTCCTTCGTACGAGATTAGCATTTATAAGTATAAAATGCTTATTGCAGTTATACTCAAGCTTTGCGTTTGCAATGGGGGATGACAAGATTTGATAAAATTTGCTTCTTTAAATTTACTCTATAGCCATAATATTCTACCACTTCACCTAAACAATAGAGAAACATACATTTTTAAAGATTCGCAAAATATCACAAATAAATGATTCATGAAATTAAAAACATAAAAGTAAATGTAAACAATCCTACTTTAACAGTCATCATTGCATATCATAGATTTTTGTTGTTGCTTGGTTCGAATTAGCTGTTTCCATCAATTCAAAAAAAGTAATAGCCCTGTTGATAAATCTTATAACTTTTAATGCTTTTGCATACCATAGAACCAACTTGTTAAGTTAAAACAAATGACTAAAAACTTTTATTCCTTTTAAATATGAATACTCATAAGGTTAACGTGGGGGCGGATCCCGAAAGGATTTTTGAGAAAAAAATATGCCTATATGTTAATCGGGAATGTTAGCTATAATCACACCAAATTTCAGCCCAATCCGTCGAGTAGTTAATACGTGATTGAACTTCAAACAAACAAAGAAACACACAAACTTAAACATTTATGATATTAGTAAGATTAATCAATCAATTATTTTAAATGGGACGCCACCTAGGTGCGTATTTTTACCCAAATATGAGTGAAAGATGAGTGTGGAATTTTGTGAGATGATTTGTGTGGCGCTGTTAGTCAAGATCAGCTGGTTCATTAGATCAGGATGATTTATTTATTTTTTTTTATCACAATTTTATTTACAATCTGTTCATTTTTAGAACATTTAGCAAATACAATAACAACTTTTAATAAAACGTTAGTTAATCTCTGTCCATTGACAGAGCTAACTTAAAAATATTTCAATGAAAAAATAAATATGTAAATAAACAAGGGAAAATTAAATTGTTCAAACAAAACGTGTGCTTAGATCCAAAACATGAATCCTTTTTAGCCTGTATATACTGGTGCTGTTGTCCAAGAGGTTTAGAGCCAGGTGATTAGGGTGATTTTCAAGTTTCTTTAGATATTTTGCACTAAATTTGGTTACTTCCTCTTCAACCGTAGGAATTCCACTGTCCTTGTGAAGGATATTGTTATTAACATACCACGGGGCTTGAAGAATGAACCTTAAAACTTTTGACTGAAATCGTTGGATAATGTTTATGTTCGACATACTGGACGTTCCCCACAGTTGGATTCCATAAGTCCAAATTGGCTTCAGTATTACTTTGTATAGTAATAATTTATTTGCAATGGTCAATTTTGATTTACTATTTAGGAGCCAGGAAAGATTTTTAAATTTTAAATTTAGGTACATTCTTTTATTCCAGATATGGGTTTTCCAGGTTAATCTTTTGTCAAGCGTCATGCCGAGATATTTCACATCGTGGGATTGCGGAATTTGGACATTATTTAAGGTTACAGGAGGACAAGTACCTAATCTGGTAGTGAAGGTCACATGAGTAGATTTGCTCTCATTCACTTTTATTTTCCATGTTTGCAACCATTCTTCTAAGTCATCTAGGGAATTTTGAAGATTAAGTGAAGCTACCACTGGATCAGGATGGGACGCTAAAATAGCTGTATCGTCAGCAAAAGTGGCCACAGAAGTATTCACATTTTCAGGTAGATCGGCTGTAAACAGAGTATATAGTACAGGTCCGAGAACACTTCCTTGGGGAACGCCAGCTTGAATTGGGTACAATTTTGTAATGCTATCTCCAAATTTAACTCTGAAATATCTGGCGGTTAGGTATGATTTAATTGTCATATAAAAAAATGTATGAGGAAGATTCAGTTTGAGTTTATAAAGTAGGCCTGTGTGACAAACTTTGTCAAAGGCTTGACTTACATCGATAAAGACAGCTGTACAATAGTTCTTTTTCTCAAGGTCTTCTTTAATTGCGTATTAACCAATCTATGTACTTGTTCAACTGTGGAATGCTCCCGTCGAAACCCAAACTGATGATTTGGAATCAAGTTTCTGTCCTCTACTTCTTCAAGTAGACGATTCAAGAAGAGCCTCTCAAACAATTTGGATGTTATTGGAAGTAGACTGATAGGTCGATATGAACTTGCTTGTTGGGGTGGTTTTCCTGGCTTTGCTATCATGATTATTTCTGAGACTTTCCATTGTGACGGGAAATACTCAGTCCGTATAATTGAATTAAAAATGAGTGTCAGGTATATGAATGCTTTTCTAGGAAGCTCTTTCATTACTTTTCCCGTGATTAAGTCGTATCCAGGGGCTTTAAACAGTTTTAATTTGTTTACAAGTTTACAGACTTCTGAGGGAGTAAAGGGCTTTATTGGAGGTGATAACTGATTTGGTGAGTCAATGAACTCAAGAATTTCGTCAAGATTATTAAAATTATTATTTTGATTTTGATTGGGAGTAAACACTGCGGCCAAGTGGTTTGCAAACACTTCAGATTTTTCAATATCGTTTCTTGTCCAAGTTCCATCGGACTTAGAGATAGGCGGTATCAGGATATTTGGACGGTTCATCCCTCTAGCTTTCCATAAAGAGTAGTTTGTTGTTTTATCAGGTGACAAATTACCTGTATATTCAGAAAACCATTCATTTTTTAATTTTTTC